GCGACATAGTTCAATCGGGCGAATGGCGGCAACTTAACACGATGTAAATGCATAAATAGCAATACGAACAAAAGGATTGCATAATGAGGGCTATGAATGAGGACGAACAGGCTGCCCGTTTCCATTGCGAAAAATGTGCTTCACTGCATCCGGTATAGAAAGCCAAGTAGAGACACAAATTTACTTTAAGTGGCAGAACTTTGAGGCCCAAGAGGATAAAATCCAGCACCGCGAAACTGGATGAGATGTCACAAGCACTCAAAGAATGCGATCGACCGAAGAACTAATTAATCTTTATAGCTACGCATATGCAAAGGATTCCTGATACTACCGTGGGAAGATTTTACGAGGCCATAATTGCACATGCACATTTGTCTGTCTTCCGGTCCACAATTCAACAATGTTATCGGTCAATGATGAGCTACTTTTGATAAAATTCGCGAACCAGTAACGGAAGGGGTTTCTACTGTATAAAACACACAATTGTGAATAACTGCTGCCGATATTGAGTACGTTCCAGGGAAGAGATTTCGCCCTGAATTTTCAGAGTACTTTCTCTTATGGTGTTTAACCTAGCTACTTGACTGGACAAGATGCTTATTTATGGTCGTCGAAGCAAGATGAATGCAGATGGAAGAAGCTGTTGCGTTTGGTTCTGTGTAAAAAGACATGTTTGAAGTAAACACTCAGTTTTTGCTCAGATTCGGCTTCAGATGCAGTAAAATTACCTATTTGAAAGGCTGACAGCACAAGAGAAAGTCTACTTACCGCGTGACAGCTCCACTGAAAATTCTATCTATCATACGCTCGGAAATCGCTGAAATCCAAAAGAAAACAGAAATTTTACTTGCCATCGATGCTTTTATTAAATTTGCAAAGGTTATTTAAATAAACAACTAGAAATACTTAAAAGCGCATTGGAAATCCTAGTTGCACTTTCGTAGCGGTATATCTGACACATTTTATCGCCTGTTTGTTACCCTAGCGGACACATCTTTGCAGGACAAATTAATGGATGCCACCTTACGGAGCCGAAACAATATGTGTATTGGTCACTATTGTCTGTAAGTAACAGCCCATAAAGCAACTTTGGATTGGCATTTTATTCTACGAGAAAAAGCATCGAAAGACTTTGCTATTTTCTCTCTTGGTCGGATTTCTATATATACATCCAATGTCAAGGCATTTCTTTTCGCCATTATCAACTGTCCAGGTAAAAAAAGTTCTGTATATGCCTTGCAGGTTTAGAACCATCAGTTGTGGAAAAGGTGAAACAACTGTCGTATGTCGGTTGCTTCTAATACGGTTACGGGCTAGTTCGTTCGTCATGACCACTGATTGCCGTCTTAAACAAGTAACGAAGACTGCTTGTAATATTCCTATGAAAACATTAGGTACCGCACGAGGTTCACGTGGAGTGACTACCTTGCGCAGGTCGGTAGCTGGTTCAATTGTTAGTTGTTCAAAATTATTACCATCCCCCGAAGATCTCATACATCCCTGTCGTTATATACCACAGTAGTAAGAAACATAGGTGTATAAGAAGTGTAGCATAGGATAGCTGAGAAAAATGCTACTGCAACTTTGCTGTGGAGAGAGAGAGAGAATGAGGAAACAGTAAGCTAATTTAAATCTTAATCGTCTTCAAAACCGGCTTCATTTACGTCACTAGAGGTTGAGAGAATCGAGATAGGGGTGGAGTCAGTCAGTCCAGCCAAGCCACCAACACTGTGAAAATTACTACGTGCGACTGACTCTCGCATTTCATCTTGACATCTCAAACGCTCCGACGGACTCTTGCGGTTTAGGAAAAACATCCAGAGGAAGCTTAGAAACACAGACTTGACAAGCGGGTTGTTTAAATAAGTTTCTAAAAGAAGATAAGCCAAGCCCATTGGATAATTGAATTAGGCAGATTTCCTCATAAGTTGGTTGTGTCATTAAGGCACACAACGAAGACGAATGCGTTAT